ACAGCTTCCCCCCAGACCGCCTCTCCAGATGGATAAAATCTTGCAGCTCACAGGAACATTTGAACGGGTTGTTCCCAGCTTGTAGCTCCCTGACCCTTGGGCAGCTCTGGAAGAAGTCAGCAGATGGGGTGAGGATTGACTTCATCTTTATGTTCAGGAGCTCCAGAGACATAAAACCACTGCACCCCGGCAGGTCAGCCAGCCTGTTCGACGCCAGGTTCAGCTCTGTCAAGGATTTCAGCTCAGCCATCCCCTTGGGGACACTAGTGATCTGATTGTTTTGTAGGTTGAGTTTTTGGGTGTTGGCTGGCAAGCACTCAAACACGGCATCCGTCAACTGATTTGAGGACAGGTCCAGCTCTGTCAGAGACTCAGCCCATTGGCATTGCACATCAGCTCCATCGTGATGCAGCAAGTTGCTGCTCATGTCCAGGTATTTCAGTGATTTCATACGGCTGGTCATGAAGCTTACTTTAGAAAGGCTTTCAAATTTATTCCTCTGCAAAATAAGCAATTGCAGATCTGTCAGAGTGCCACAATTCTGGAACAACTCATCTGTCAGGGCATTGTGAGAAAAATTTAAATACTGAAATAAGCTGGTTCTACTGGGGCAAAGCATATGTGGCATATATGCATCATATATGGTCAAATTGGCAATATTCATCTCTGAAAACTGTCTATATAGAATCTCCTGGTTAAAATAATAAACCTTATTACGAACATGCTCCAAAGTTAGTGTTTTCATGGAGCCACCCGAAGAGATTAATTGTTCGAGAGAGCTTAATACGGGTAGAAATTCATATTCAGTCAGCTCCCCTAGTGATTTCCGGAAAGTCAAATTTCTCACAGTCAAATGCTCCACAGGTGAATACCAAATAAGCAGGAAAACTTGCAAAATGATAGTCCATTGTAAGTCTACAGTGTCAAGCATCAGAGCTGTTGTCTTGATTTTCTTCAGGAGTGTTAAAGAAGGAGACGGGAAATCTTTGTAGCTCAAGTTATATCTCAAGTTAACTATTTTTAAGTTTTCTGAAGTGGTCATTCCATCATACAAGAGGGAAAAACTGAAATTCTGGATTGCTGCAAAAACAATGTGGAGGCTCCTTGTATTCAGGGCTGTCAGACTCTGAGGCTCATACAGAGAAAAGTCTTCTAAGGTTAGAAAGACAGTGTACAGCTGCAAATTTATGATATACCTGAAGTCCGACCTTCGTATCATTGTGGCACTTAATCCTAGGTACTCCAAACAAAACATATTCCTGAATTCCTGACAGATGGGCAGGGCAGTAAACTTATTGAAAGAAAGATCTAAATGTCTAAGATACGCAAGAGTTGTACAGTAAATTTTCAAAATGCTATTATGAGATAAATCTAAGTATTCTAAATCTTCATTAAAAATGAAGACACTAAAGTCAAGCTCTGTAATTAGATTATGAGAAAGATTTAATACCTGAAGTTCAGAAAGATAAATAAATTCTGAGATACTAAGTCCAGAGATCCTATTATGTGATAAATCTAATACATGAGTATGGACTGGAAGGGTTTTTGGAACATTAGTTAGCAAACTGCTTGAATAATTTGCAATAAATTCGTTTTCTACAGTTGGCTGGATATTATTCCACAGTGTGAATGTACAGGCACAAGCAAAGACGTAGATATTTGTAAGGGGTCTCATTATGCTTTCCAGGTTTATCTCTGTTTTTTACAGAAACACAGTAGCATATCTTTGCTTTCTGTTCAATCTGTTCCAGTGATGAGTCCAGCCCTATGAAAAGAAAACACATGAATTTGCTGAAATTATTGAACTGTTGAATTTGCTTTTTATCACTAAAGTAAAATTCAATACAAAATTTATGTAATAAAGATCTTACTTTTACATACTCATATTCTTCTAGGTTCTCATCAATCCTCCTCACCTCCATTCTTTAATTTCAATTGTTGATTTTCTCAGTTAAGTAGAAATTAATTCCTTTATAATGGGAGGATTTAAATCAGTGGTGCGTTAAAAAAACCACAGATGTTAAGAAATACAAACTTATCAACAACCTTGAAAAATACAAAACCAGTATGAACAGCCATCAATACATACAGGAGCAAAGGAGAGCACAACAAGCCTCCCGTCTGCTCTTCCCATACACCCTGTGTCCACACACATTTGGGACAGAACTCCAAAAGCCCCATGGACCCTCACAGGAATCAGTGCAAAAGCAACCTCTGCACTCAGAGGAGTTAAAGGATGTTCCTCTTCACTTCCCAAAGACCCAGGACATGACCATGCACCCCCTCAGCGTCAGCCAATCGCAGAAGCTGATCAGCTTTGTCTTTGCTGTAGCACAAAGACATAGGGGTCTACTTTTCCAGAAAGCCAAGAATCTTGAGTAGGAATAAACTGTCTCACAAATATTGTAATATCAGTCTGGCCAAAAGCATGCTAACAGGAAAACCACAGCATAACCAGACACCAGTGGTACTCAAAATCTGAAAGAAAACACTTGACACTTCCACGGACTCCAGGATTTCCTAGGTGTCCTAGGAAATTTCCCATGTTTTCCAAATTACCTCACAGTTGTAACTTGACAAAGAACCTCTCTGGAAATGGTGAAGGACAATGAGTCTAGTTCTAAGGACAAAAAAACCCAGGGAGAGAAAAATTTAGTGGATATGGAAAATGGTCCATCAGAATTAATATCTGGTCATGTGTATCACTAGCCTATATAGATTTGGAGAGGCATCAGTCCTGTCATGAAAAACTGTTACCTGGGCATTATTCTCTTGTTGTCAATCACAACACAACACACAGACAACCTGAATTATGAGCAACTCATAAACTGTTCTAGGAGACAAACATCCCCACCTTTTTTTCCTGTGCTGATTTTGTCTGTAGAAAACTCTCAAAGTTTTAAAACTCTTCCCCTATATAATCTTTTGTTAAATAAAAGCCAAAAGCCTGTTTTTTCAGTTCTAGGTTAAAATGTATGTTAGTTCCTAATAATGTGATGGGCTGATACCGAAACTCATCCCTTCCCCTCCAAGTCTCCTACCAAGCTCAATCAAATTTTCTTTTAATTAAGGTAAAATATGCGTAATTGACATCACCAAAAGCAATTAAAAAAAAAACACAATATCACTCACAAGAAGAACCAAGACAAGGAAATCTGACCCAGCTTCCTCTAAAGAGCAGCTGGCCTTGTCCTTCAGAGTCCAGGCTGGCAAAGAACCTCTTAAATCAAATAAAATTTGATCTGGAGTTATCTGGGGAAACTTCCCCTGGGGCAAAAGCAATGCCAGGAACAAAGCAAGAAATGTCCTGTAGAGAGAAAACAACAGAAAGATATTCTGTTGACAGATGAGTTTTAATTTGCTGTGCATACAATGCTATACACTGTGACAAGGGATGATCCACATCATGTAGCATTGAAGAGTGACACAGTCAAGCAGGTAGTCTAGCAAAGCAACATTAAGGATCAACGGTTACTCCTCTAACACTATATTACAATGGTATTAAAACAAAATTGGCTGAGAATTAAAATTGTCATACCAAACATTTTTCCCTTTCTTCTTTGTTGAAATTCAACATAGAGATGAACACTTTTGCTGAAATTTCAAAATGCAAGAATATCTTTCACAGTGAAGGCACCTGAGATTTGATGGACTGCAAAACACATGTAACAAAATGAAAAAGAAATTAAGTAATGGAACAAATATAACCCACCTTTTGTGCATGGAATTAACCTCCAAGTGGAGAACCAGCAAAAGTTCCTTGCTTACTTGATTAACATCCTCAAAACAGAATTTCAAATGTACGTAATCTTCAATCTGGGGAATCTCACATGAGATGCTAATCCCATCAGGAAGTAGAAAGAACAGGCTTTTCTTATATGGGCTGTATAATTCTAAGAATTAATGAAATTTCCCTGCAATGCAGGTATTAAAGTGTACAATGAAAGGAAACTTTTAACAGTCCAGACTCAAAATAGATTTACTTCTGTAATATTTACATAACTGTATGGTTTTGGAGGAAATAAAACTATCTGCAGTACAGAATATTCACCAAGGCAAGATTGTTTAAGTAATTCTGCATTTCTAATTTCATGTCTGCTTCTGATGGTTACACAGATGTTCTAGAAATTCATCAGCTGCATCTCCTCTTTTGCACGCACAAAGAAAAGAGGAAGCAGAGCCCTCACCACCAACTTCTCTTCATATCAAAATCTCTTGCAGAGCTCTACTCCACTATTTTCCTCAACAAGCAAACTAATTAATGTAGCACATTGACAGATGGCAAAAGCTTAGATCTCAAAATATAGTAACAGGGGCAAACTGGCACAGTTCAAAACCTTTACAGGTCACTCATCTTTACACTAGAGATCCCTCAGATGGTTAATCAGGGATATGCCACATTGTAGCTTCCTTCAAAAAATTAATAAAAACTAACTATAGAAAATATTCTCTACAATATGAAAGCTGCAAAGACGCCATGAAGAGCAGAGCAATATAGGGCAACCTGGGGACGGAGGAATCCAATAAAGCAGCGATTCAATTAGCATTTTGAACAGGGGCATGAACCCAGAGAGCAAATCAACAGAGCAGAGAGTAAGTGCATTTGCAAAGGCAGCTGTAAATAACCAAAACCAACATCTCACTCCCATAAGCCTCCAAATTAACGCAACATGCTTCAGTAAGATTAATTAGCAAGGAAAAAAGAAGCAGAGATGAATATATGAATGAAGATTTATTTAATCTTAAAATTCATCAAGATTAAATTCATGAAGTATGTAATGAATTCTTCAGGTATGAGTAAACTAGGGGGAAAGGGGACACCTGGGCCCATTCTGGACTCAGTGTAGAGCTCACTCCACCCCACAAAACAGCGCCTTGACAAGAGTTGAAGACAAGAAGGGATTCAGCTAAAGAAGCTGAGAAGTATTAAAATTTATTCTAGATAGCAGTGCCAGCTGTATTTCAATCTTGCATTAGATTCCTTTGAAAGTTTTCTTTTGTGATTACCCTTTCAATTTTGTAAAGAAGAATTTAATCCTTTGCTTTGCTGAAAGAAAACTTCTGCTTTTCATTTTGAGACTAAGATGTTTGAACTGAAACTGAACTGAAACCGTTCTGCTTTCCTCGGTGCAGCAAATCTAAGTAATACATTACAGAAAACTCTGAGACATCTTGTGACCCAAGACAAGACCAGGGATCATGAATGTTTCTCAATAAGCAGCAAGAGTCTGCTCGTCAGCTGATACTGTCTTGTCTTCAAGATAAAGGAGAAGTTCCCATTGCTTGGCATTGATCCATGAAAATGGATAGACTAAGGCACTTGTTGACAGAACAATAATATGCAAACCAGCAGCAGTTTTACTTCCAATATAATCCATGAAAAAAACTTTGCTGCATGGACAAAATGAAATACACCATCAGCTTTCATTAGAACTGACTCCAGTGCACTCACAGCTGTAAAAAACAAAAGTGTCTACAGCTTCAGTTGTGGTATGTTTAATTTCCTTACCACCCTTCTTTAAGAAACTGTAAAATACATTCCAATAAACAGTTTTGCATAAAGAAAAAATTGCAGCTATTTAAAATAAAACCGATACTCCTGAATACCTCTGTTAAATCATTAGGAACACTGCATAATGTCATTTTTACTGACCAATTCAGCAAGCTTTGTTTGGGGCTGGTTTCAGTTTACTGATTAAGTCATTTTGCATGATAGGTAAAAACTAAAAAGCAGCATATTTCTGTTCATGCATCCTGAAATGTACCAGCTAAATACCATCCTTTCCATAGTCAGCATACATACACTAATGCAGATACCTTGTTCCATTTCTGAAGTTCATACTGCTGAGATTTTTTGCAGCTGATTCTATCAGTGAGCACCTATCTTCACAAACAACCTTTCTTCAAGATATATTTCACACTTCTGCCTGTATGCTGTGATTACTTAGGCAGAGAGGAACCGCAGCTACACTTGGCTGGCTAACAGAAGCTATTCAGGACAAGCACTGTGCCCAAAGGTGTGAAGAGTCTCTCCAACTAGAACTGCAGAAGGGAACTTACATGTGCAAAACACTAAGTTAAAACATTGCCAGAGCAGATAGACTCATCCAAGCACTTGTGAAAAGTTAATACAATAATTAAATGTTACAAAGCCAGCATTTGGTCATATCAAGGACCTTATCTTCAGCTGCAACTCTCATTGTCGCCACTTAACCCTGTGTGTCAAGTTGTGATGGGTTTGCCCTTGGCTGGGGGCCAAACCACACACCCACTCACACCATTCCCACCCCCAATCTGAGCACAGCAGAGAGTATTAAAGGGGTAAAGGGAAAAAAGGACTCGTGGGTTGAGATAAGGACAATTTAACAACTGAACTACAATAACATTGAAAATAATACTATATACAAATACACAAATGAGTGATACACAGTGATACTGTCCCCCCACCCAATGACCAAGGATCAGTCTGTTCCCAGCTAACAATCCCAAAGCAGGGAGGGTCCCGAAACCACACTCATGGAACAGATCACGGTCCGAGCACCCCAGACCGAGAGCTGACCAGGGTGTGGGGGGGGAAAGGCCTTGGGAGAGCAACTACCTGCAGCGAGATGGGCATGACATGTATGTTATGGAACAGATTATTGGCCACTCCGGGTCTCAATCCTGAACCTAAGA